AATGAAAATGAAATGAATGATATTCCTAAAGAAATACTTGCATTTTGAATGTACCTAAAGAATGTACAAGACTTCAATCATGAATTCATATTCAACTCCATATAAGAATTGGCCCTCAGTTTTTACTCTTCCTCGTGGAAATGCTGATGTGGAACGAGTATTTTCATTTCCAAATGATAGCAAAACTAAAAAAATAAAATAGATTGTCCTCCAACATGCTCAAGGCATTTTTCATGAAACTGGATACTTTTGGTAAGAATAAATGTAGTAAATATGTCTTCAATGAAAGACTTTTCCCAAAAATACAACCAAAATATGTTCGAACACAAATATAAACTTACTGATACATCCCACCTATCAGAGTAGATTGTCTAGGTATCTACTATTCCGATTGTAATCCCTTTTTTTTTTTCTTTTTCAATTGTTAGGAATCACACGTTAGGTAAGACCTCGTTAATCCTTAGCACGCACAAGTTGCGACTTCTGAGGGTTGTCGTTCGTAGGTGTGCGACAGCTGGTTAACGGAAAAACAGATTTTAAACAAATTTTTGAAAGGAAGTTTATTCTTTATATAAATGTTTGATATATTCGTTATTCAACTCGGGATTTAAGAATGTCATTTTCTTATTGATTACCTACAATTACAAATACAGAATTTCGCAAGTTGCTAAAAATCACGAGGTCACACCTATCATCGAACAACCAAACAAAATGATCGAATACAGAACGATTTAAAGAATAAACACCAGCGTTTTTACAGAAGGAAACAGAAACGCTCGCGCTGGAAGCTGGAACCGATAGAACAGGTGGAATATATCGAAATAATTAGACCTGGAAGTAGGCAACCATCATTTCATCGCACCTTTCTGCCCCCAAGAATCCAACATAAGAGGATTTGGATAGAAACTCTGCATTATGGTTGGAATCTTCAATATACCGCTTTATATGGCTGGCATGGAAAGTACCACGTTAGACTTCTGAGTCCGGGCAGGGTTGAGTAAGGAACGCCAAACCGCTTTTCCATTCAAAGACTTCCTGGCGAGGTATACGTTTACATGATTACGTCTGACCAGGGCCGTCGCCATTGGGGGGGAGGGGGGAGCCTCCCCCTCCTGCTTTTTGGGAAAAAGTTGGGAAATTTTGGGCCGTGAAGATAAAAAAAAATAATAGTAAAGAAATTTTAAAAATACGATCTATTTCCCAAGCCCACCCGTTATGATTTCCCGAGCAAAACGTACGAAATAAACGACCGAGCTCTCTTATCACTCTTTCTGAAGGTTTACTTTGAGAATGCCTCAATGAACTATGGATAATCATTATATCTTCTATCTTATGCAAGGCTCGGCTCCACGCGACTGCGGTAAACTGGGTATATACCAAGATCGGTTAGTACTACGCCACCCCTGAATCAAGAGCAATACAATCGTTAGGGCCATTGGGTATTATCGAGTGTAATTTGGGATGAGGAAAACCGAAACCTTGGTCATTGTAAATCCTAGACAATGCCTTGGTTTTCTGACAAACATCACAAGAGGCTATAACTCGTTTGATTTCTCGGTGCATATTTTGCCACTAAGTAGGCAACCATCATTTCATCGTACCGCTTCAGTATTTTGATGCATTATTTTATACTTTGTGTTACCAACAATAAACTACTTTACCATTATTTTAATCGATTTTATTACTAATAAAAAATAAATATAACTGACCATTGTCTCCATTAATGATCCGAACTCCACATTTTGCCCCTCTCGACCATAAACTCGACATGAAATCAGAAGAGAATACTCAGTAATCAAATATAGGCAAGGCACCTTTGTATATTTTATTGCTCTCACAAGGAAAGCCTAGAGATAGTGGCGTGATAGTGGTTATATTTCTTATTATTTACATCATCATATCGATTGAAACAAAGCTATAATACTTAGTAGTTTAATCAAAATACCCTTCTGTATTGGTTAAACAGTTTGTGAATCAATGCACTAAAAACTAATCAATATTTCTCAACCTAATCACTATATTCTGACCTTCGATAAACAAATGTATATATTTCAGTCAGCACAAGAACACTCTACATATTTCATTTCTCATAGGCATGGTCATTTTTTATTAGTTAAAGAAATTGATGTGGTGCTCAGGTATCTCAAGCAGTGGAATACATTTCTCCAAACTCTATTCTTTAAAATATCCAAAATTGAAAATAGCCCACAATTTTAATTCGATTAGACCCTGAATTCTAAAAGTTACCAAAACGCTATAGGGCCACTCGTGGTCATCTTATGGATATTCAGAAAAATCCGACTACAATCATTATTGATTATGAATAATAACACAATCGATCCCAAAAATGATAAATTACTTCAAATTTCTACCTCATGTTCAACATCAATAACGAAAACAATCCGTTGAAGAAAATGTATACTTAAATTTTTACAAATGAAACGTCGCCTCTGTGAAAATTTGGAACTAAGGGAAGTAATGATCTATTATTCCACCAGATACCGCCAGGGTTTTTGGCATGTTCTATTCTGTATTAGGAAGAATTCAAAGTATAATTTGTAATTCTAAGCAGTTTTCACACCTCCATTTAGGTGTGAAATTTCAAAACTGAGGCTAATCACGGCTAAAGGCTAGTTAATGTTGGAACGAACATCGCATAAAAAGTGCGAATTAAAATGGCGTCGTGTTTATCGTAAAAAAGTTGAAAAAATTGAACATTTTTGCTATTTCCGCAAAATGTTATACGTCAACATACAAAGTAGTTATATTGCTTTGACTCTCGTTTTTTAAGCCCATACATCAAAATTGAATCCGAATTGGACGAATGTGTCAGGTTGTTCAAATTATATCAACTTTACCGTAAAAAGCTTCATTGAGAAAACCCCGTCTTTATAGTGGGAAATATATTCAAAAATAGAAGAAAATATGAAGAATATCACAATCTTGTGGCTGAAATAAATGAGAATTAGTGATCCAGAGAAATATTTCAACTATTTCAGGCTCACTCTCTCATTATTCAATGAATTATTGAATTTGGTTGGCCCCTCAATAAAGAAAAGTCATTTTGCAAAAGAACCCCTCGCCCCTGCAGCCAGTAACGTTAAGATAAGTGGTTTGAGGACACGCTCCTATTAAACAAAACTTGAGAAAATTGTTAGTCCTATATTCTGATATGATGGGGTCTGGTCTTAAAATTCGTAATTCGTATGAGTCGTATGTCATCATTCAGGTTCATGTAATAAAATTTAAAATTCAACAATGAAATCCCTAGATATTGCCCGCTTCAAGATGAACAGGGTATTTTGACAATTGAGGCAAATTTGCGGAACCGCAAAAATATTATCGCAATCGTTCTAATATGAACTCGCCTTAATGTGGGTTCTTTTTTGACAATAATTTCACTTTTCTCTCTCTAATTTCTATGGCGGTTGCTTCTCATTCGAGCGCATTTGGCCAGGCTCCTCCTCTCCTTAGTGAACAGAAGCTCCGTCCAGGGGCAAAGCTGTCTTGCTCAACGAATGCTGCTACCCCAACCGCAAAAATATTATCGCAATCGTTCTAATATGAACTCGCCTTAATGCGGATTCTTTTTTGACAGTAATTTCACTTTTCTCTCTCTAATTTCTATGGCGGTTGCTTCTCATTCGAGCGCATTTGGCCAGGCTCCTCTTCTTCTTAGTGAACAGAAGCTCCGTCCAGGGGCAAAGCTGTCTTGCTCAACGAATGCTGCTACCCCAAGTTTGTTCATTCACTTATTTTAACTAAAATTCTTCTTTCTTCATTTCTTAACTGGTCGCCTCCTTCACGAAAGGCATTCGAATAAAAATAACACAAATACACATCATCATATATTTTATAGAACTGACGGCCTCGTCGAATCCGTCGATATGCAGCCTGGTTACTGGCGTAGGTGGCTGCCAGTCCTCTCATATTTCACTTCAATATTTTACAACTTTTGGACTCCACTCCGACTTCGACATCCAGATGCTATCTTTATCAGCACAACCGTTCTCTGTTGCGATCGAAGTCCGTTAGTAGTAGTTCAATTTTACTTTTGTAGTTGGTCTACCATTTGTTGAACTGTCAAATGACATTTATTTGTCTTATGATGACATGAGTGGTCTATTATCAAAGAGTAATCATTATAGACATCTTGGTTATTTCTGTTTTTTTTGGTGCTGATAGTGTCTTGAACGAAAATAATATTTTACTTGAAAATGAAATGGCATCATTTCATGTAAGGTCTATTTATTTGACAAATGGTAGATAACTTATAGTGGAATTATTGGTATTTTTATAGTACTATCACCTCGTTGCTACATCTTGTTCGAGACTCCATGTATTATATTTCGTATAATTGTGAATATATTCCACTACTATCTTCAAACACTTCGAATCAAAAACGGACTAGATGTCAAAAGTATTTCAGCCTTAAACCTATGTTGGTTAAATTGATCATAGACATGATAATATGGTTACTGCGTCACAGCACCATATGGCAAATCGAACACCAACATTCTCACAATGGGAATATGCAACCCGTGAAATATCGTAACATAGTATCAGATGTTAAGCGTATGAGTAACGTATAGCCAAGACGCGAATCTCGTTTTTTTTTAGTTGTTGGAGTCAATGTTCTCTCTTCAATGTCCATATTATGACGTCACTGCATTGAACTCAGATCATCTATTGAAGATTCTGCAATGTTGCCATAAAGATAGTGCATTATTATTTAATCTTCCCAGCGATAGATGGCGCTTTGGAGAAATTCGGGTAGTTAATTCTAATATTTTATGTTATTTATTTTGCAAGTTCTGTTTCTGATTTCGAGCTTTACTAGTGAAAGTGACTAGTTCATTTGTGTCAATTATTACCAAAAAGCAACTGAAATATTCCATGAAATACATGCATATTGAGGTATGTATGAAATTTATAAATCAAAATTTCCCACAATCTTAAATGCGCAGACTCGCAGAATATGGCTGGACTACAAAATAATGTCAGGCATTACAAATGGTGACTGCTTCGATCGATATCAGCAAACGTGACGTAAATGTATCTGTCAGGGTGGATACCAAATATTTACCCATGTAAAAATGTCCGGTAAAGTGTTATGAACTCAAAAAAAACTATCGAAAATATCAAATTCGTGAAACTGTGATTACAGACATGTTTTTGTGTTAAATGTGCAAGATTCACGCAGGTGCGTACGCAGACGTACTAATAATTTTAACTGGGCCTGCTCCATTCTTGGTCAACGCGCGATTCAGATGTGTTAACAAAAATAATGAGAATTAGGATATTCATTCAAAGTAGCCGAACTGCATAATCACGCGGTTAGTGAGGCTTCAACTTTCGGATTTATTTTCTCAGTTCTGGACAGAGGAAGCCATATTAAAGAATTGATATTGTTCTGGGGTCTACCATAATGAATCGCGCCAAACCACTTTACTCTTTTGCGCAAACCCTAAATATGTTCATGTGCATTCGTTAAAAAAATTGATGACAAAATACAAAATGAAAATTCGCATTCAAAATTTCAAAATGGGTAACGCAGTTTTCAATTTCCCGACGAAAACCTCTGTCAAAACATCTTTTCGGTAAGGGGTAAGGGGAATAGATACATCAATTATTGATTTTGTTCATAGCATTTATATATTCCAATATCTCCATATTCTCACCTAAAATAATAAAGTGGCTTAATAAACTAAAATTTTTGAGCTCACTTCCAACTGTATATGTAAGGAACATATTTTGCTGTATTTTTGTGAAAAAACTCATCACCTAACCTCACAAGGAAAATATGAATGTTGCTACCCCATTCTCACTTTCCTACTTCGGGATTTTTTGATTATGTATGTATTCCTGGATGTTTTGGTTTTTGTGTCATGTGATCTTTTTCAACTGTGAAGGTATAGTGCATTCTTACCTATTTGCAAATGTGTAGTGTAGAAAAACGTTTTGTTCTTGTGTGCACCTTTGCTTTTTAGATTGTGTAGTTCTTAACTACCTCGTTAAATACTGAATGAGTTTATTACAATTTTCACTATATATTTAAATTTGATATCTAATGATGATGTTGTCATATTTCTGAAATTTTCAATAAGCATATGATTTTCTTCAATCCATCTTCACATTAATGTTGAGTGGACAATGAATGTAAAGTTACCTAAAATCAGAATTTAAAATCCTGCTTCAGTCTCTAAAATTTTTACGCTCACTATTACTGAGCCTTTTTTTGTGAAACCCTTCAGACATATAGGTTGCCAATGATATATCTTAATAGGAGAAATGTTAAAGAAACTGTCTCGCATCTGGTTAAAGCAAAATACTCGTTAATGCTTGCAGCGATCGAAAAATGAGTTCAAGGTAACATATTTCAAATTTTTAAGAAAGGTGACTGAATATCACAGGCCAGTTTCAATTTTTCAAAATTTTTACATTTTTTTGTATCTAGGCATATGTATATAATAATTCCAGGGAATAGTGCAAATAATGCACTTAAACTGATCATTAACAATTTAATAAACTGATTGAACTACAATAACGATCTTTTAGATGATACTTATATTATTTTGTTCACTGATAACACTACCCTCAACATATCAGAAAAAATTAAACCAATTTTCTGCGCAAAATGAATCAAATTATAAGTAATTATAAAGTGTTTGTAAGACATGACAATGAATTATGTTCCTTTGATAAAACATTGTTGAATTGAAATAAAAAACAACCATATCAGTTCACTTACGATTCATACAATTTTTTAAAGGTTGACAGGTAGGTGAAGAAAACCGTAGGATTTTCAAGCCTATCTCGATGAAATTAGATAGATTACAAAAAAACGATGCCTGTTTTTTAGAACTTGAAATACTAGAAGCCATTTTCATGAAACCTGTATCAAATGCAGAATTTCAGAAACCGATCTAAAGAGCATCTTTGCTAGCGTTTCTTTTTGATCCATTAACAGACAGTAACTTGCTGCAGAAGCTGTCAAAAAATTATATTCAGATAATGGTGATTTACTACTATCTCCAGTTATCAATTTTCTAGTTAGATCAGACCCTTTCGCTGATGGTATGTTCCAAATGAGATTCTTAAAAAAGTAAAACCCATAGAATGGTGGAAAACGCCATGAAAAATTTCCACTTTTGAAAAATGGTTTTCCATATTCACACAGTAATCAGCTACTGCTGCTTCTTCCGCCTTCTAAAGCATATTCTATACATTTTGCTTAATTGATTCTAAACCGAGGAATCCATTGGAAACACAAAAAAACTTTAAAATTAGTTTTTCTTTACATGCATTACAGTAATTAATTACGAGATGTTTTCCATTTTATATTTCAAAGCAGTTTTTTTCTAAAAGTGGCTGAAGGACTTCAGTCGATGGCCCTTCGGTATTCACCAATAAATGAGATTTTTTAGTATTATTTTGCACTCACACTATCCACTGAATGAATGTATGTACTATGTTATTTTATTAGAGTACTACTTTCGTTTGAACATTAATTGTCATAATTGAAATGTTTTATGCTTTATCTTCCATTATTATTGAAGTTTCAATCTGATTTTACCCATGTTTCAATGTAATCTTTATTATTATAGGATACATCCTAATCTTACAAGACATAATAACTAATTAATAATTTAAATTTCCACAGTGCCAAAAATATTAATAAAATTCAAATATGTATATAGATAATAACAATAATGAAGATAAACTAAATAAAAAGATAATAATAAAAAATATACAATTTATAATACCCAATGTTGAAAACCAATATTGATATAGTAACTATATATAATATACATATTTTCCAACTAACTAACGCTCTAGGTATTCCAATAATTTACTTTTAAACCCTCTTACAGTATTTTCCTCTTTAATGGCATTTGGTAAATTGTTAAATTCCCGTAGTCCCTTGTAGAATAAGTTTTTAGTTCCGCCACCA